AAGGGGGGGGAGCGGAGTGAGGAGGGGGGCAAAGTGATGGCCGGGGACCCCGAGTTCCCCCAGGGTGGGGGCCACTGCGAAGCTGCAAGAGCGGGCTGCACCTGGGGAGGGGGTGACGTCCCATGGCTCCCCTGTCCCCCCTTCTAGCCCCCAAAGTGCTGCGCCAGGCAAGCACATTTCTGGGGCTACTGACATGGCTGGTGACCACGAGGGCTGGGCCTGTAGCCCCCTGCCAGGGACCCCTAAGTGCAGCTTGGCACCCCCCCCGGCCCTGTGCCATGGTGTGGCTCCCTGCCACCCGCGAAGGGCAAAGCCGCCCCAGTGCCAGGGCGGGGAGGGATCCGCACCCCCAGAAACCTGCAAAGAAGCATCCTCAGCCCCCAGAAATAATAATTATGTCACCCAACGAGCTCCGTCTATTCCTGAAAAACAATAGAGCCGTCGCCAGCGCGAGGCAAGGAGAGGAGAAGGGTCCCAGCCGCTTGGGTTGCCTTGGTGATGGGACGTAAATCTGCATTCGCCAGGTTTTCCCCGCACGTACATCAAACCGCCGAGCCCAGTGCCGATGCCGGGTGGTGAAGGCAGTGGAAGGACGCCGGCAGCGTGTACCATCGGCGAGCGGGTTACGGGCGCCAGCGTTGGGTGTGAGGGTCCCTGGGTGGGTTTCTCCTCTCCCCGCTTTGTTTCTCGGTGTTTTTTCACCGCCATCAAAACTGCACAGCGCCGGGGGAGATGTTGAACATGGAGGGGTCGAACTTTTGGCCACGGAAAGGGGAGCCCTCGGTGTCCCAGCCCTTCTTCAGCATCTCGTGCACCTTCTGCAAAGAGGCCACAGGCTCCCGTCAAGCTGGGGGGGACCCCACACCTTTGCCCTCGCTGGGTGACGGCAGCACCCATTTCCAAGGGCACGCAACCACCTCCGTGCGTCACCCACCCTCCTCTCCTCTGCCCGGGAAAGGGGATAAGGCACACAGGGCTGGGAGGGAGCGATAGGCAGCAAAAGGCGGCTCCTCGGCTGGGCTGATCCCAGACCCACGTGGGTTTATCCCAGATCAGAGGGAGAGGGGAGAGACGGCAGGGCTGTCTCTGGAGCGATGTGCAGTAATGTGCCAGGAGGGGTCTGGGCTCACAGGGATTTGCCACGGTGCCGGGAAGGGGAAGATGGGAGCGTGAGGGCCAAAGACGGGGACTAGCAGAACCTCAAAATGGAGCTGGGAGGGTGGAAGGGATGCTGTGTGGAGGAGCTCAGAGCTGGAGCAGAGCGGTGGAGCTGCTCCACACCACACCCTTTTACTGGAGATGGGACCCATGGACGAGCCGGAGGGTACCTGGCAGGGCTGAGGGCACAGGATGGCCAGCACCTACCAGCTCGTGGCTCTGGGGCTTGCCCTGCAGCTTCTGGTGGTAGTCAAAGGTGAGGCGGTCCAGCATGGCGTGCTCCTCCTCGTCCACTGTGGCCATGGAGCGCTCCTTGTTGATCTTGTCGATGTCGATCTGCTCCTCGCCCTCCAGGATGGCGTTCCACCAGTACTCGTCCCCTTTGTTCAGGTTGATCTGGGGACAAGGTGCGGGTCAGAGGAGAGTGGGGAGAGGAGCCCCCGTTCTGCCCCTGGGATGTGATACCCCCTGCCCGCCCCACACCTCTGTGGCAGTGATGCCGTGAGCTTGGACGTAATGGCCTGGGGACCCATCAGATGAAGAGGCCCTGCCCGGCAGAGCATGGCCCCGAGGCTCCCAGCATGGCAAGGCTGCGATTTTGCGTCTGCCTAACCCAGAAGGAGCCCTTGACTCAGCTCCCCCCAGGGCTTGCGTGGGTGACAAAGGAGGCAAAACTGTCACCCACCGCTCCATGCTGCCCCTGCTCGCCACCAGCACCTGCCTCCTGTGGCACCGTGGCTCATCGGCCGGCCATGGAGGGGCAGTCCAAGAAGAGGGGACATCCCCTCGCCTCCAGCCAACATCCTCGCTGCCAAAATCCGCTGGCCATCCCCGACACACCAGCAGCGCCTCGCACGGAGCTGGCCGGCCGGAGGGGCTGTGCTGGGTGCCAGCGTGACTGTGGGGCATCCCGCACCGGGAACCCTGAGCCAGGAGGGGTGGGCTTCTTCCTCCTGTATTATTTTAGCAATAATCCCAGCAGCAAGGAAGATTTATGGCGTTCGTCGGCCTCTCTGCAAAATCATCAATAAAGGCAGACAATACAATTTACTCAAACCTCCCTGGAAGCTCAACAGCTCTGGAGGGGAAAACACGGGCAGCCATTAAAGTTACGGAGCTGGCTGTCTCTCTGCGGTGCAAAGAAAAGGAACCAATTAATACGGGAGGGGGTGGCTGGGGCTTAATCCTTCTGGGAGAGCAGAGCCGGTAAAATATTCCAACTCGGGGAAGGCGTTAGTTTTTCCAGCCAGACAGGCGTGCTCGTTCTCCTCTTAATTGCACAGTTCCACTTGCCAGGGGAGGAAGAGCCGTTGAGGGTTTGCTCGTGGGCTTCCCAACCCTGGGTGGGCAGGCGGGGGAACGGCAAGCTCTCCCGGGAACATCGTCCCTTCAGTGGCCAAGACAAGCCCGTGGGCCAGCTGGCCCGGCCAGCCCCTGCCTGCGGCATGCTGGAGCACCCTCAAGGCTCGCTGCTGCTACTCCGGGTTTAAAACAAAAAAGAATGTCCCCACGGTGCCGCTGGCGAGGTGTGAGCTTCCCCGGTGATGGCTTTGCTATGAGACATGCTGCTGAGCGTGTAAGGTAATGACCCGCTTCGAATGTCCCCACCAGAGCCAGGCTGGCAGCAGAGGGATGAACAGACACCGGAGGACTTCGTGGCTTATCAGGCATCACCTCACCTCCACCCCAGAGCACCAGGGGAAGGGAAAGCCATCCCTTCTCCCACCCCTACCAAATCCCCTTCCTCCCCTGGCACCCCCACCACCAGCAGCCCCCAGGGAACCCCCACGGAGCCACGGACCCGGTGGGAAACACCCATGAAACCCGAATCCCCCTCGTCCGCAGACCACCCTTGGCGAAAGACAGGGGAGCTGCTACAGTGAGCGCCAGCCCGGGGATCCTCTCCTCCTCCCCGCCCCATGCGTGGCTCTCCCTTTATTTACCACATACCGTTTCCCACCCTGCTGGGAAGACAGTATTATTCATTTCCTCGCCAGCTTTTCTGCGGTGCGCATCGCTACAGCGCTGAGTGCTTTGCAAACAATAATTAATTAACCTCTGCAGCCCGCTTTGTGCGCACAGGGGAATTAGCTCATCCCCCTTTATTCCAGATGCAAAAGTGGGACTCGCTCTGAGGTGGGAGCCCCACTTCACAACGCGAGCCTCCGAAATGCCCGTGGGCCAGGGTGAAGCTCTCTCTGTCACCCTGAGTTTGGGGTTTTGCGGTTCGCTGTGGTGCTGGAACACTTGGCACAGACAGGTCTGACCTCCAGAATGGGGAGCATTGGGCTCAGGTTGATTGTCGGACACGCTTCTGCCGATGGTCTCCGTTGATTCAGCCTTGCGCTTGGCTGGGCACCTGGGCTACGAGAGCTTGCGGTGATGGAGAGGTGGGCTGGAGCCTCACCGAGCGCTTGGGTGCAAGAAGGCCGAGGTAAGGGAGAGCCAAGAGACCGTGGTGATGACCTGCGAGCACCGGCCCTCACTCACCCATGGAGGAAGGCTCCGGTGCTCGACCAACGGCACCGTGCAAGGCTGCACACTCCCTCGGGGAGTGCTCCAGAAACCCTGGGCGGGTCCATGAGGAAGCAGGGTTTTTTTCGCCAGGACAAATCTCGACCTGATTACACTACTCGCTTCGAGACAAGGCAAAAGCTTTGCCCGCACTTGAAGCTGCCACTACGAGTTTCCCAGCCTGACCCTCCAGGGTTCTAGAAATGCTGCTGGCTGTTTGCCAGAGGAAGGATTGGGTTCCTGCAGTGTGCTCGGGCTCTCAGTCAGGCTTCGGCTCTGCTTTTTAGGCTGGTGGTTCCCAAAGGGCCTCCTGGGCTGTAAGGAGATCCTTCACCCATGGCCAAAAGGGGTAAAAGCCCAGCTGAGTCTTTTGGGGCTCAGGGGAGGCAGGAACAGCCTCTGCAACGGCGGCCTGGAGAGAGGGAGGTTTGCAGGGGGGACACCTCTGCTGCTGTATCCAAAGCTGGCAGCGTCCCTGTGCTACAGCGCCCATGTTCCCAAAGACGGTGACGTGCCTTTGTGGACAAGAAGGACAGTGGTGTCCTGGGGCGCACTCCAAAGACTGCGGCCAGCAGGTCGAGGGAGGTCATCCTCCCCCTCTGCTCTGCTCTGGTGAGGCCACAGCTGGACTACTGTGTCCAGTTCTGGGCTCCCCAGTTGAAGAAAGACAAGGAACTACTGGAGAGAGTCCAGCAGAGGGCTACGAAGACGTTCAAGGGACTGGAGCACCTCTCTTGTGAGGAAAGACTGAGAGCCCTGGGTCTGTTTAGCCGGAGAAGAGAAGACTGAGAGGGGATCTCATCAGTGCTTATCACTATCTAAAGGGTGGGGGTGAAGGGGATGGGGCCAGACTCTTCTCAGTGGTGCCCGGCGACAGGACAAGGGGCAACGGGCACAAACTGGATCACGGGGAATTCTGTCTCAACATGAGGAAAACTTCTTTCCTTTGGTGGTGCCAGAGCACTGGAAGAGGCTGCCCAGAGAGGTGGGGGAGTCTCCTTCTCTGGAGAGATTCAAAACCTGCCTGGATGTGACCCTGTGCAACCTGCTCTGGGTGACCCTGCCTTGGCAGGGGGGTGGGCTGGATGATCTCCCAAGGTCCCTTCCAACCCCCACCATTCTGGGATTCTGGGATTATGAGCTGTCAGCCACAAGAGGAAGGGTCTGTTCCCACGCCAGTACGCTGGGGAAAGCACAGGGGATGGATTGCAAGGAGGATCACTGCAGGTGGAAATGGGCATGTGGGAGGGACAGGACATTCAGCAGGCACGTCTGTGGCCAGGAGGGATCCTCCCGCGGTGTGTGAAGAGTGTGAGAGGCATCATCGGCATGGACACGGTGTCATGTCACATCTCCACGCCCTGCCGGGAAGGTCACAACCCTTCGTTGCCAGTGCTGGGCTTTGTCAGAGCACGAGGTTTCTTCCCCAATCCTAAATACCTTGTCAGAGCTGGAGAGATGCTGCCAAGGGATATAAGTAGGTCTTGGAAAAACAACCTCTCACCACCTGCTTTCCTTCTGGAATAACAGCAGCCGTCGCCCCAAAAGTCAGCGGGAGACATTTCGGGGGTACGGAGGAGGGAGCAGGCGATGTTTCCAGCAGTGTGTGGAGGGCAGGGCGGAGGGAGAGCACTGCAGATTGTTATTAACTTGGCCTCGCGGCTCATGAGGTGACAAGCTGAGGACTGTAATAGCTGTTCAAGGCAGGACTTGGTGACAAAAGCCCAAGCATGGATAACAAATGCTGGAGAGGAGGAGAAAAAGAGAGGGAATAGGGGGAAAAATATCCTCAACAACAAAAATAATCCCAAAACGTGTTGTGCACAACACCCAGCGGAGATTTCTAAAAACAGCTTGTGTGAAGTTATTTCAATCCCACTTTTGACAAGCGAGCGGGTGTTACAGCGAAGGGAGCGCACAGGGATTACACCCAGGACAGGGGCTTCGCCGTGGTACTGCAGGCAGGGGCACGAGCCCAGGACACGACCCTGAGCGGCAAGAGGTGTGGACAGAGCCCTCGCCACGCACTGTGGGCATCCAGCTGAGCACTCCACTTCCAAATGACACCTGCGGGGTCTCTGCTGCGGCCGGGCTGTCGTGCAAACCACAAGTGTGCCGAAGGATGGGATGGGAAACACGTTGTGCTCAGCCCAGGCTCCGGCAGGGAGAACCTCATGGAGCCGGAGGGGAAACGCAGAGTGGTCTTGGAGCGCTGGGGCTGCTGGAGAGCAAGCAGCTGTGTGATGAAGAGGATAAATTGATAAGAACACCAGAGAGGATGGGGAAAGCAGAGGTGGGAGGGGTTCTAAGGCAAATTAACCTTCTTACAATAAGAGCTGGGGGGAGAACGGATGCCAGTTAATGAGAGCCTGTGAACGGCCGTCCCAGAAGGCAGCTGAGCAGGGGACAGGGGAAACCAAGGATGTGAAAGGCAGCTGCAACAGCAGCCCAGAGAGCGCAGGGATCTTGATGATCCTTGACGTATCCTGCAACAGCGCATGGGACTCAAGCACCTCTACGCACAGAATTGGGACTTTCCCAGGTGGACAAGACCAAGCGGGAGAGATTTCACCTCCTCGGCGCATAGATCAAGCTCTGCCTGCAGGGACTGCCTCAACTCACAGACCACAAAAACATGAGCATGCCTAGGTTTTCCTCTGGACAGAGCCGCTGACGTGCCCCAAGCAGTAACCATGGTGGCCGGGATCTCCTCCACGACTCCACCACTGGCAGCGGGCGAGTCTGGTTTCAGCTGCATCCCCACGCTGGGTCCCGGGGAGAGAAGCCAGGTGGCACGTTGTGGCACCTCACTGTATGAAGACACTCCTGACTGCCACACTCGCAGCTCACTCGGAGCTGCGCAACACGTGGACGCAGAAACTTGTGTACAGAAAGGGCCCATACGCCCCATCAGCCCTCAACCCAACCCAACCCAACCGGCTCCTGTCCCGTCCCCTCCCCGATGCTATAACAAAGCACTCCATTAACACACGGCTGGGTGTCTCCTGATGAATGAACAGGGAGGAGTCACAAACCACTTTTGGCTACTCTGCACACGGAAAAAGGAGATGCTCTTGGGCGAGAATTACTCACTCTGCTCCAGTTACCTTACAATTCTTCAAGCGAAATTTCATCCCACCATCAATATGTTGGCAGCCAGCTGGATATCCTCACAACCCTGCGCTCCTGCTAATTCGAGGCAAGACCCAGCTCTAGGGTTGGAAGTAATGGGACCGTTCCCCGTGCTGCCCGCGGACACTCCAGAAGGCCCCGAGTCTCGCTCCACCCGCGCGCCGTTCCCATCCTCCTCCGGCACCGGGTATTTAACAAACATTTCCTCCCTTGCTGATCCTGGGAACACCCACCAGGGACTCCCATCCGCGCCGTGGAGCAGCACCCTTTGGGCCACCTCCTCTTGAATGGGTTTATTTCTTCCCAGGATTGTTTCTCTTCCCAGATCAGCTAATTTTCAAGAAGCTCAAGAACATTTAAAAAATGCAGGTTAATGAGGCCGCCACCTCCTTTTTCACATCTTTTCAACCGTCTAATGGAGTCGGAGAAGCTCCTCTCTCTTGCAGGGACCTCAGCCTTTTGGTACCATTCTGTCATCCCGGGGCACACCCATACGCACCCGCAGCGGCCAGGCAGTGCTCGCGCAGCCTCCCCACGCACCACCTTCAGCCCTTCTGCTTCTGGCAGCTCATTCCCACTCCATTTCCCGCTGTGGGGGCTTGGCTTTGGGTGCCCCTCTGCTGCCACCCTCATGACATGGGGCGGAAGGCTGGAAACCTGCTCCCTCCCTTGCAGGGCAGGGTTCGGAACCGCTGCCAGACGCAGGCAGCTGGCATCCCCTCCTGGGGCTCACAGCAACCTTGATTGATCACGAAACTTCTGGGAAAGCCTCTGAGTGGAAAGGGAGAGGGCAAAGATGGCCACAGGTGGCAAAACCCTACTCCCAGCACAATCCTGGCCCCAAAACTCACACAGGAGTTTGGCAACTGTTTGACATGGGAGATGCCAGGCTGATGGGCAACAACGCAACCCCCAGGACACTTTCAGCTGTGGACACAGCCCCCAGAGAGCAGAACTCATACCCTCAGCCTGGACGTTTGGAGCCCACCAGAAACGAGTCACGAGGCTGGGAACCCACCAGTAACACACTGCTGGGCGGCAACAGCCCCCAAACCACCTCAACAGGGAAGATTTGTGGTGCTGGAGGGGGCAAGCACACATGGTGCCTGCTGAAGGCAAACAGAGAAGTAGCCACAGCGACTGCTTCACACAGGATAATTAAGAAACCCGAGGCAGGACAGAAATGAATGGCAGGGAACAGGCATCTGCTGGGATGCCGGGGTAGGAGCAGGGCCAGGAGAGTTCGAGGGCAAAGCCAGCAAGGATGGGTGTGTGGCACTGGCATTGCAGTGCAGTGCCACAGCGACTTTCCACTGGCAGACCCTGTGTGCCAGGATCAGTGGACAGTGACCACCTCTAGATAACAGATGTGTTCCCACCACCACAGGCTGGAGCTTGGGGACCCTCCTCACCCAACCTGATGGATATGTTGCTCTGCCAGCACCCTGCTGCTGCTCACCCAGGGGGGGCAGCACCGGAGCTGGAGGCAGGGCACAGCACACAGGCAAGGGCAGAGTGAGCTGGACGTTGGATGGGGAAAGCCAGACACGTCCAGATCTGGCTCAAACTTCCAGCTGCTCCGGTTTTCCAAGTCAAGCCCAGTGGAGCTGCAAGCCAAGGTGCAGAGACATGGCTGGTGTGGACCGCCCTTACCAAAACACACTTCCCCGGCTCCAGGCTCCAGAGGGAACTCTCCGTGTTGATCTTGTGGGTGAGTTTCCCTTCCATGAGGACACGCTGGCCGCTCCCCTCCAGCACTGCTACGCGAATTGTGCTGTTGCTGATATCCACAGACACCTAGAAACACAGAGACAGAGAAAATAACCAGGAAGGTTCCTGTTTGCCCTCTTGCTGTGCTTGTTGGGGTGCGGGGTCAAGTGCACTCGCTGGGGATGAGAGAAAGAGAAGAGCTTTCAGACCTGCACGTAGCAGGAGGAGGGTGGGAATCCTGCTGTCATTTCAGAGCAAATAGCAAAAGCTCAGAGGAGAAATGAAACCTCTCCAGGAAAGGCAAAGCAACAGGGCCCAGCAGACGGAGCCCTAGAAGGATTTGAGGCAGCTGGTTCTGCCACTGTGTCTGCCCTGTGCCTCAGTTTCCCCACAGAGACAACCAACAATGCTACAGGCCTCCTCCGTACAGTGCTCAAAGTCTGGACACCCACTTGCTGCGACTGAGCTGTTAGGAGCACAGCGGGTGCCCGGCCGTCACTGTGATGAGTTGGGCATGAGTTCCTGGGGGCTGAGCGCTTCCCTGCTGAGCGGGAGCGATTTGGGGATTTCTACACCGGGAAGGGCTGCAGTAGCTTGTCCCCCCCTTCTGCTGCACCGCACCGAAAGCACGCTCCTTGGCTCCGTTTCTGCCATCAGAGCCAGCACTGGGCTCAGCCCAGGCCTCCCGTCAGGCATGCGAGGAGGGGCCGCGTGCGAGGAGGGGCCGCGTGCAGGAGGGATGCTGCAGCACGGCTCCCCTTCTCCCTGCTGCGGGGGCGAGGGGACGAGGCAGCTCCGTCCCCAGGAACGGGGCCAGCTCCCGCCTGCAGCAGCCATATGGGGAACCCTGCTTCGACCTGCCACGGAGGTGACATGGCTCTCCCCCGGGGAGACAGAGGCAGACTGCGACTTCGCTGCACTGCACGCAGTACCCTTGGTCTCCGGAGAGACCATATGCTCTTTCCTTTCCCCTTCGGCCCTGAGCTGCCGCCAGCAGAGAGCCCAAGCCGGGCCAGGGGACTAAGGGAGGACCTGGCTGGGAAGGGGCAGGTTTGTGGGCCCCGGCGCTGCCCTGTCTTCTGGCCCGAGAGGAGGAGACTGCGGTGAGATTTGCCTGCATTCTCTCCCAGAGTTCCACCAGATCTTCCTCCCGCTCTGCAGATCTCATTTGAAATGTTATTACATTATCCATTACCTAGGAGATTTCCAGCGGCTCACTAGCTCCACGCAGGCAAGAGACAGGCAAAGCTGCTCCAGCCGGGGAGGGCACCACGGCTGCATCTGATCGATGCCACCCAGATAAAGCCCCCAGACCCACTGTATGTGATGGGGAGGTGCCAGGGCTTCGACAGGAGCAGTGGCCCACCACACACCACACAGGGTGACACCAGGACTGAGCTCCAATGCCGACGGCTGGCAGCAGGACTGTGGTCTCAGGGGATTGGGGAAGGGACGCGAGCTCTGTCTCTGCCAGACAGGAGAGGATGCTTGGCTTTCACCTGGCACGTGGTTGCGGACAGCCTCTGTGAAAGCAGCTCCTCCTGGATGGGAAACATCTCCGGAGAGGCTGCAGCATGGAGCAGCTTCCTCCAGCCCAAGGGCTGAGGCCTCACTGCAGGGACGAAGCTCTGCTCTTTGCCACCACCGACTGCCCTGGTCCCCAGGTGCAAGGACAGGGCTGCTGACACCAGGCTCTCAGAGCAGCACAGAAAAGGCCAAGGGGAACAAAGGAAGGTGACCCCACCAAGTCACCTTCTGGGGGGGGCTTCTTTGGGGTGTAGAGGGCCAGGGTGGCTGGAGATATGGACAGCACGGACACAGCATTGCAGCTGTGGGATCCATAATCAACTGTCAGAGGTGTTTTATTCCAAGGTGGCTGAGGGATGTTCCTCAGGGTGGCTCTGGGACCAGCAGGGCGTCAGGAGAGGGAGCGGAGAAACCCAAATGGAAGAAAATACCCAAACCGGGCAGCCTTAACCCAGCCACCTCACTGCACAACCAGCCAGCGTGAGAAGCAATCGCAACACCCACTCCTACAGGGGTAGCCAGCAAAAAGGCCCCTCTTGGCACACCAGCCCAGGGGGAGCGGTGACAGGGGACAGGAGCAAAGCACACACCACCAGAGAGCCCTGACTTCTCTTGTGGAGAGAGAAATGTCCGAGAGGACTCATGCGTGCACGCAGTGGTGCACAGTGAATGCAGGGTTTGGCACACACGGGCAGCGGCGCCTTCTCGGATGCCTTGGTGGAAAAACCACCTCTGCTTGGCATCCCCACTCCACCAGGGAGGGTGGCCGGGCTCTCTGAGGAGCTGCCCTTCTTCCCTCCATCCCCCTCCACCCGCGCTGTCCTGCTGCACTGCAGTCAGGGCACGCATGGCCAGCAAAACTGGGGTTTGCCAGAACCGGGCACGGACAGGCATCGGCTGGGGGGGAGCCGAGGGCGATCCTGTGTGAAACACGCTGTCAGCGCAGCGCAGCCATGAGCAGGGGCACCCCAGGGGCTCCGAGGCTGCTTGTCCCCCACCATGAGCTCCCCACGAGCACCTCTGCCCCCCAAAACACCTGGCCTTCCCGGTGCTTGCAAGGAAACCCAGATCTCGGCTCTCTGCCGTGGCTTTCCACCACAGTAATTTCTGTGCACACTAAAACGCCCACGCCCGCCCACGCAAATCAAACAAGCAAACACAAACCTATGAAGGAATCTAGCTCATCTCCTCTGAGCCAGGCAAAAAGAGAGGCTTGTTGTCATTATCTCTATTTAAGTGCTCGGGAAGCGCTTGGATCCATGGGCCCCTGTTGCGCCTGTAAGTAGATCAGAGAGGTGGAGACCACAGAGGAAGATGCTCCCACCTACCCCATCGCCCATTCCTGCTCCACGGACACTTTTTTGGAGCTCCATACAAGGAAACCTTAAGCTCGCCCGAGCAAAAATGTACCATAGCAACAGCTTGAATCCAAAAAAGTGTCATAAGGAAGATTTTGAGCAGCATTAGAGCTGGGCGCGCTCTGAGCCTGGGGACCAAACGGGGGAGACTTTTAATCTCGCTTTGGCAGGCAGAAGCCAAAAATCTGATAATTTTTTACAAAGATGAAGCTGTGTGGTGAATGTAGGGGAATGCTTCTCTTTTGCAGGAACCCAGCAACAACGCATCCGAAGTCCATCGAGCTTTAAAATGGCTCTGAATCACCCTGCTTTAGCCCGTCGTCCAGCCTATCTGCTTCCAGTCCCCTGAGGCTGGAAGAGATTTAAAGAATCACTTCAAAGGGAAAACTTGGCTGCTAAGAGGAGGCCCAAGAGGGATGTATGAACCAAATACCAGGAGATGCCTCGCAAGGATAAGGAAAGTCTGCTATCTGAATAATCAATTGCCCTGAGAGGGCAGTGGAGGCAGAAACCGGGGCCAGGGCAGGCAGAGCCATGCCACAGGCAGCAGCGTGGGAAGGAGCTGCCCCGATAATCGCCGCCACTGACAGGCAGGGGCTCTTCTGCATCGATGGCACGGTCTCCAGTCAAGGAAAGGTCTTGTCCCAGCTCCTCCAGGCACCTGCAAGGCCCCCACGCCTCTGGGTGGCAAAGAATGGGGCAGACAAAGTTTGATGCTCTTTTTTTTTTTGGCAAGGACACAACTCCCCTGGCACAAAGGGCACTTCCCTGGGCAGGGAGAGGCATCGTGATCGCAATATGATGCAGAGGGATGGAACATCCGTCTGGATGTCCCTGAATCCTTCCAAGAAACAGCCTGGGTTTGTTTTAGAGACCCACTGGGAGAGATGCATCTCCTGGTCCCCCTGCTGTCCCCATGGCAGCTATTTGCTCCCTCACCCCTCCAGTCCGGGCTGCTGCTGCCAATTACACTCTTTTGGCATGATCAGGAGCTGTGTAGGCTGGAGCTGGTGAACAAACCCAAGCGTGCTCATTTCAGCCACCCTGGAAGCAGAGGAGAACGGGAGGTGGGGGAGCGCGGACTTCCCAAATGGAAAAATACAGAATAAGCCGTGGGGAAGGCAGCACTCAGGAAAGACAGGAGAGCTCAAACTTCTGGGTTCAACTGATGCCAGCCATGGGCAAGCTCCTCTTGAGTCCCTTGCTGGGAGGGAACAGACATGGCGAAGGAAAAACGACGTGACCCCTCGTGGCCAGGAGCAGAGAAGGAAAGTTCCTGCCTGAGCTGAGGAGGGAGCCAGGGAGAAGGTCTGGCCGCTCAGCCTGCGCCCCAGCGCAGCTCCCTTCCACCCTGAGCAGGTCGAGTCTCACACGGGCTGTGCCCGCTCCCAAGTGCCAGAGGAGCTGTTCCAGCAGCTCCCGCATGCAGGAGACACTCCAAGTCAGAGGGAGCAACCGGGGAAGGAGCGCCCATGCCCAGCCAGGCTCAGAAACCCATGTGCGAGTTTGCATTCAGTGGAAGTGGAGAGAAAAAGCACAGAAAGTGTCATGCGGCGACAGGGAACCCCTCTGGGGCCGGAGCAACAGGACACTGCAGTCACAATGGGAACGCGGCCAGGATGGGACTATCGGTCCCCAACAGCCACACACCCAGCACTGGAGAAAAAGGCATGACTGCATCATGCTCCTTGAGTACGAAGGACAAGGAGCCTTCCCACTCCAAACAACTTCCTGGGAAAGTTGGGCAGCCCAAAGGAAAGGGAAATGCTGAAAGACACACCATTAACACCACTTTACCTGTTTGCCTTTTATGATATGCTTGGGCACGGGCACTTTAATCTCCAGGTCGCTGAAGTCTTGGGACCAGGCGTAATTCTCTCGCACAGCCCCATTGTAGCTGTCGGGGTTTGTCTGGAACTGCTCCTGTCTCCTGGGGGAGAAGAAAGGGGTGACATGCTAAGTGTTGGAGAGTCCAGACAGAGCAGAAAACCTGAGAACAGCGTGCAAGAGGCAGAAAGGGAGGGCAGAGCATCTGCTCGGCCATGCTGCCAGCATCCCTAACGCTTCAGGCTGGATGCCCAGTCTCTCCCTCACTGCTGGTCCTGCCTGGGAAGGAAGAAGGTTCAGGTCGGCAGCCCCAGGACACAGAGGGACCTCAGCCACCCTGCCTGTTGCGGGTCACTTGCACACCCCTCTCCTCAGTGTGCCACAATGGAAATCAGGCTGCTAACAGGACAATTGGTGAGACACATAATTTGGCTGCCCAAGAGGTGCAGAGCAGGCCACTGGCTGGCTTGGGGCACCTTCCTGGCTAATTCCTGAGCGCAGAGCTCCTCTTCCCCTCCACCTCCTTGCTGCGTCCACCGTGCCTGTCACAGCTAGAGCAGGGGACGCTGTCACTCAGCAGAGGGTGTGTGCTGTCTCCTGGGCTACTGCCATGGCTGCAGAGGTGGTGGCCCATCACTGACTGTGACCTGTGTTCACCAGGAAAAAACAGAGCTGGTCGTCCTCCTCTCGATTTTAGCATGTTTGGGAAAACCACCAGCTGTCATGACTGGGGCAGTTGGTGCCACAGAAGTGATGGAGCTGTGAGCAGGATGCCTCAAGAGCCAGCCTGGCGCAGCGCTGGAAGGGGGCAACTGGACAAGTGCATAATCAGCAACACTTTTGAGCAAAACACAGCCACTGCCAGCTGTGGAAATCTCAGGAGAAGGAAGAGGAGGCGGTTGTGAGGGTAGGATGGGATTTATCAGATCAATAAGCAATAATCAGTACAGCATTTCCAGCTAAGAAAGAAGATCTCACAACACACCCATGTCCCTTTAAACTGCTGGCGGGCGGAGGATCTATTCCATCGAAACCTCCCGGAGAGGGCTTTCAAATAAAATAAAATCTTTTTCTAAAGATAGCTGCGGTGCTAACAAAAGGCAGAGTTATTTTAAAATGTTTTGATACGCACCTAGTCCTCAATCTGGAGCTGTATAAACACGGGGCTGCAGCGAGTTACGTAAGTGGGGGGCCAGTGACGAGTGGCCCTAGGGGGTAGCTGGCCCTGGGGACCACATCTCCCCATGCCCTGCTGCCTTCCCAACACCCCCACAGCGAGGGGCCCTCGCCAGCGCTGGGCGGGGGTGGCTTCCAGCAGCGCGGTGCCCTGAGAATTATGTAAGATTCATCGATTTTAATGAAATTAGGCTCTAAGACGGTTGGAGGGGGTTGTCGAAGGGGCTGTGTGTACATTTGCCCCCCCCCCCCCCCTTTTTTTTTTCTTGGTTGTTTCACAGGGTTTTACCTGCCTTGTTACAACCACCTGCGCCCTGGGGTGGTTTTGATCTGGTTCTCCGGGCAGCACAGGAGCTGGCAGCGGCCGCTCGCTCCCAGCCTCGGGCCAGCAATTTTTGGGGGGCACCGCATCACTTTTTTTGGGCATCCTGGCCTTGCCTGGCAGTTGCCCATTGGGTGCCCATTGCCATGGAAACGGGGTTGGCATGGCAGCACCGAACCAGCGCTGGCGCGGGTTGGCTCCAGCTGTCGGTTTCCCAACCGCCCCCGGATTGTAGGAGTCGAACAGGCTGGAGGGCGAGAGGGGGAACGGTGCGGGCGACTGGGGTCTGCGGGGCCCCGCTCTCACCCCGCGGGAAGCAAAGAGGTTGAAACGAGGTGGCGTGTCCCTAAGTATCATCTCATGTGTCCCCAGGTCCTCAGCTAGCCCAGCAGTGGCACCTGGGCACGATTGTCCCAGAGATCATCCTGCACAAACCCCAGGCAGAGAAGAGGCATGTTTCTCTCCTGGGTGAGGATCCATGCGCTGCCTGGTTAAGTGCCCTCGCAGGACATGTCCTTTCACGGCGGGGTCTGCCTGAGCACAGCACAGGTCTGCGAGGCTCCTGACCTCTGCCCTGATGCCCTCGGGCCGGAGCACACGTGTACGCGGCTGCACAGTGAACCAGAGCACAAACCTCACTGGGATTTTAAAACCCACTGGCTTTTTTCCTCCTGAGAGAGCGTTTCCTTCTAATCAGTGTGGACCTGAGCTGTGTGGCAGAGCTCACCACGCTCCTTGCCAGCAAGACACCAGAGGGAAGGGTGACAGTCACCATCCCAAGCGTTATTCACCTCCCTGAGAGCGAGCAAAGAACCAGAAAAGAACCAACAAATGGCTATTTACTTCCAGGTCATTCCCCCCCAGAGGCCTTCCTTGAGAAAAGCTTGAAGGCTAAAGGGGGAGGCAGCAAGCCGAGGCCAAGGCTTGTTAGAGCAGATGCAGAGCATCAAAGATGGGAGAAAACCCACCAGCGCAAAGGCAAGTGTGGGTAGGATGCCAGCTGCCAACCCCTCATGGCCACAGCAGATAAATACAATCCCAGACTAAGCTGCTTGCAGCCACAAAGCCACTGGGTCCATCTTTGTTGTGCCTGTTCCTCGGGAGGAAAGTGCTGGGGCTAAGCAGACCCTGGCCAAGTGCGTCCTGGATGTTTTAGCCCTCCCCAAAGCTCACTGAGTGTGATTTCATTGTCCCACGAGGGCACGAGTGGCTTCATGGCAGCCCCGGGAGACGTCAGTGTTAATTGGGTTACTTCCACAGGGAAACTGAGGCAGAACTTGCTCTGCAATGGGTCTGTCGAGCTTCTCTCTGTGTGGCATCTGAACAAGCGAAAGCAGTCTTCCTCTCAGCCCCAACCGTCTCCCATGGGATGGCTCTGTCCTCGCCCCCTTCGTTGCATAACTAGAGCAGCGCACCGGGTGATGGAGTGCCACCTCTGCCCCCCTGCGCAGCTTGCTGGGACGAGCTCAGCCCTGCTGCCTCATCCTCACAGCCCTCCCGGGCTGGCTGGGCAACACATGCCCCAGCCAAACCATCCCCGTGCTCAGGTGGCTTCAGCAGGGAAGAAGTTTCCCCTCGTGCCAGGGCATGGGGAGCAGTGCCATCGCTTCTCCACTCCTCTTTTCCCTAACAGCCAACCCAAACCCCTCCAGCCCTTCCTGCAAGCCACCACTGCTGATGTCTGCTCCAGCTCTGCTCCTGATATTCAAAATCCTCGGATGTGAAACCAATGGGGTGACTTTGCACCCCAAAACTGGCTCATAAGGGGAACTCACGAAAGCCTTGGTAAATTCCCCTACAAGTTTAAATGCCTGCTCTTGAGCAAACGAGGATTTGGGATGACGAATGGTGCCTCAGCCTCGTTAGGCACCTCTGACAAACAGCTGACAGCTCTACCATCTCTTGGAGCAACTCTTCCTTTCCTGGAGGTTTTCCAGCCAGATCCTTGCCTGGTCCAACTGTGCTTAGCACACGCTACCCTTCACGCCGGCGGCACTCAAGAAATTGGACCCAGCTCCTTACTTGGGAGGCACTTTCCCTTGCCGTCCACAGGAGACAGCCCCAGCTCACGGCGAGTTGGGCCGAGCTGTGCCACCACACCGGAGGTGGCTCTCATGCCAAAGCCATCCCTCCTGTCACTTCAACAGCACCACCGTGCAGCGGGCGAGAGAATTTCCTGCACGAACACCATGGCCAGGAGACATCCCCGTCCCCAGACCCATCAGGTGAAGACCGAGGCTGGATCCAGAGCGCAGTGTGGTTGAACGGCGATCCTCCCAGCAGCCTGGTGATAGCACAGCGGTGCGATGGTCAGCTCACTGAGACGCCGAACCGCATGGCAGGCCGGGGCAGGTGGTGTCAGGGCTGAGGAGAAGGAGGGTGAAAAAGCATCAGCTTTTAAAACCAAGGGTTTGGCACCACGTACACTTGGCTGCCGGGTGGTGGGGATGGTGTGGGTGGGTCTGTGTGTTCTGTCTTGTTCTATTTTTGCTCGCAATGTGTCATTTTGGGGGAGGTGAAACCTTTAACAATGCACCGTCGAGAAGCAGCCGATCTGTTTTCCATTCCTCGGAGCCACACTGCATGGCTGCGCTGTCACCAGTACCAGAGCCATTCCCCTTGCACAGGGTCAGACCCCGCAACGGCAGCGAGAGCCAGCCGGGACTTGAGGGGAGGTGGCAATGTCACCAGGAGATGCTGCTGGAGCGAGGCTGCCCTGGCGTGCAGGCTGGATGCCCGAGGGTCGAGCCACACGCTGGGCCCCATATACAGATTTCTAGGCATTTCTTATTCTGGGATTTCCAGTTCCGTGGGTTGGTGATGCACGATGAGCTGAGCGATGCGGAAATGGTGACAGAGGCAGCTTCTCCTCTGCGGACACTCGGCTGAACACATTTCCGTTCTCAGAGGACAACAGCTCCAGCACCAGCTCTGTAGAAGCAGCTCCGGACAGAAACCAAGAGCAGGAACCAAACACTGAAGGATTTGATGTAATGTTTTATATGAGGAGAGGTAGGGCAGCTCACCAAGTTCCCCTTTACTGAGGATTTTTGGTGGAAGAACGCAAAAGTTGAAGAACAGACACAGCAGCATGGGAGCAGCCGTCCTTCAGCCCGATGCTGGAGGCTGAGGGGGGAGCAGAGGTGGGCGAGCGTCATGGGAAGGAGCTAATATGAGCCTAATCCCAATGGACTTTTTTTTCCTCCATAAAAAGAAGAAAAGAAAAGAATCCCAAGGATTTTCAGAACTACTTAAGGAAACTGATCCTCTGAGCCTGGAGCATCTCAGCTTTCCGATGCCGGCTCCCTGCCCTCTCGGGAAGCAGGCGCGATGGAGGTGCGGGATACCCGGGTTTTGCAGTCAGGCATGCCAGCCTGATGGCTCAGCGTCCGCTGTCGCCGGGACCGGAGGCCTGCCTCAGCCGGTGCTGGTTCTTCGGCCCAGCAGACCGCTGAGCTCAGGGTGGGTGTCTGCACCCTGCCGGCACCACTGTTGCGGATGGTGAGGGCCGGTGCAGCAGACACCCTCCAATCACTTGGCATTCACAGAAAGCTTCCTCCGGGGCCGGCACTGCTGTTTGCTCTCAGTCAAGGTGAATTATTTAG